AAAGATGCATCTTTACAGACTCGAGCAGACGGTTGACTCTCTGCTGTTGTTTTAGTATTTTATCGTTTGTACTTCATAGTTAAGGCAAACTGTTGTTTTGAGTTCAGGCCCAGATCGCTCCTGATAGAACGTGCTCGACTGCAGAGCGCTCCACTGACACATTAGGCATGAGCGCTCTTCTAGGCCAGCTACAGAACTTGGCCAGATTGGGCCGCGGGGCATGTGTTTGACACAGCCGGCTGGATAACGGGGCTGCTGGCATGTGAACCGGATATTTCCCTCGTTGACACTCGCTCCCTGCTGCTCACTAATATTGTTGTGATGATGATGATGATGATGATGTTCCAGCGGACGGTACCAGCGCTGCTCACCCAAGCTCATTCCACCTTGTCTTTGATGAGCTTTATTCATCCACCCCTCTCTAGAAAAGATGCCCTTTCAGTCTTCTGACATCACGTTTCTCCGTCGTGGACTCAGGAGTCCGTCTGTCGGGTGACTTGGTGGAAAAACAACAAAATGCCGTGACACGATGCCGGAGTGTGTTTGGTGCTCGCTCTTTTATCTCCGTCTCTGGTGAACACATGCTTGGCTGCGTTTCTAAATATTGAATGACCTCCTACGTGGCGGTTTGCTTTTAGAAAGTGACGTGCTGTAATGAGACCGATGCAGCGGACGGATGTCGTCATAGGTTTAAAACATTAGTTCTGGTTTAACGGTTAGTTCAGCGGCACTCGCTTCAATAAACTCTGGTCTGTGTTAGTGAAGAGTTTGTTTTAGGCTCCTTGTGCAGGTAGAGAGTAAAGAGAAAGTAAAGAGTTTAAACTGAGCAGCACACGTAGACGGTTCATGTCCTCATGTGTCCACCGCTCAGCTCGCTCCTTTAATGCTTCAGTCTAGTTTACATCACTGGTTCAAGGTCCTTGTGCGCTCAAAATAAGTTCTAATGTTTGTACAGCGATGATGGAAGAAGACATGTGTCCTGATGCAAACATTTAAATGTTGAATGTAGAAAGTGAAATCTGTTTTAGTGTGGTGGTTTAAATGGAGTCACTTGTTTGTGTAAATTCAATCTAATATTTCTGGTACAGATACCAAAGTATTGTTTGTTCTGATTCTTTAGTTTGAGGGATGTTAGAAGCTTTTTCTACAACATTAAATTCAAACAAAGGAGCAAATCTTAGATACCATCGAGCTGTTAACATGATTAGATCAGTAATTACCATGAACCCTCTGGACTTCAACTGGTTTTGGGGGCGATTGCTGCTCCCGTCGCATTTTCACTCACTGTGGGCTCATTTTTTAAGTCCTGCACCTCCACAGGAACAAACCAGCTACAGGTAGAGAGAACTCACAAAGGTCTGGTGTGCAGTAGGACTGAATTATAATGCCACAAATAATCAAACAAACAATAATAAAAAAAAAAATTAAATTAAAAAGGTTAAATTTGTCTGATTATTCCCTTTGCAAAACAGAAAAAATGGAAGCAGCCTGTGCAGCATCTCCCCAGGTGTCCACAGGTGTCCACAGGTGTCCACAGGTGTCCATAGGTGTCCACAGGTGTCCACAGGTGTTAGCAACACTGGAAGAAATAGCCACTTAGCATCCTGTAGATGTTTCCATCAGTTCAGTCACAAAACACCTGAATTTCTTCATGCAAATTTTTGGACCAGTCATGTGACGTAATTCTGATTAAGCTCAGATTTTGTTAATTTACCGACCTGATGTTCTGTCACAGCTCAGAAAGTTTAAGATCCCACGATGCCCTCTGTTTTCAGAGCGTGGTCCTGATGAATGGAGTCATTTTGGTGAATGTCTGCTTTTCAGACTCCGTTTTGGGCTTCAGAGGGTTAAAGAAGACTTATTCAGAACTTTTCTTTAAACTGAACCGTAACCACGAAGGTGTCATGAAATTTCTCAGGAAGTGTTTTTTAATCTGCTTTTAACATTTTGCAGTTAAAGATTCAGCCCTGAATCCTCGTGACCTCCTCTGACGGGTCACAGCCGACATTCAGGGACAAAGAAAAGGCTGATGGAGGGAAAGTCTGTGGGTTTCAGTCTGAAAGGCCTCTTCATCACAATGACGATGTCTGCTGGCATCGTTTCATTTCTCCCATCTATATTTGCTTCCTCTCTGTCACTCACTCTGTCACGCCAAGAGTCTCGTCAGGAGGAAACCATGGCAACAGCCGGCTGTCACCTCTCAGCGGTGATTAGCCAGGTCCACCCAGCAAAAAGTCAGCCATCATCTCCTTGACTTGTCCCCTGTGCTCAAATTGCCGCACAGCAACTGGCATTTAAACTCTGACGCTGATACAGTCGACCACACGTGCAGCGTGATGCGGCGGCGCTCGTGTGAACAGCCCACAGAAACGAGTACGGCAGGTAAAGCGTAGTGTGTAGGCTGCTCATGCAGATCTTTCCAGCGTGATGTTGGCTCTGTTTGATGTAATATTTATGAAGCCTCCCTCCCTCCTTGCCGACCCCCTCCCTCGCTGCTCAGCTCCTCAGCAGGCAGCGGTGGATGCTGCTGAAGGCCTCAGATGTCTGCCTCGCTGATCACGGAGGAGGAAACTTTACAACATGAAAACTGGGAGAGAGAGAGAGACGACAAACAAAAAAACACCACGCTCCCCTTTGGGCTGCTGCTGCCTCGGTGGCAAACATCCAGGCTGCACTCGGAAATGTCGTGTCGAGATAATTTCCTCTGGCCGGTGGTAGACGGAGAGAGGGGCTTGAACCTGACACAGAGGGACGGTTCTGAAAGATGACAAAGTGCTGAGGGCCCTCCTACAGATCGCTTATCTCAGTTCAGCTGTCGGGCCTCGCTCCATGGACGGCACCTCTGATTAACTAATCACACACATCAGCTGATCCAAACCGCTTCATTACAAACACGGGACTCGACCTTAAAGAAATAAATAAATGGTGAACAAACCCAGAGCACGCAGTTTAAATCCTCACTCGGGGCTTAATCTCATCCTCCGCCTCTGTGTTGATTGTTTGTCAGCGTTTAGACGGTGACACGGAGGCAGGAGCAGTGGTCACATGACCAACGCCTTCAGAAATTAGACCATCTGTCAAACGCTTTGACCGCAAAACTAATATCTGAAATACTGAACTGATAACAAGAAGTAAAAATTACACATAAGTAATCCATCCATCAGGCTGGAGTCTATCCCAGCTGACTCAGGGTGAAGGCAGGTTCACCTGGACAGGTAACCAGTCTATCACAGGGCTACACTTAGAGACAGACAACCA